TGGTATATCCCTTCTTCTTGTTAAATAGCTTTGTGGATAGCAGGAACTACAGCCTTTAAGCCAGGACCTGATCAAGTTCTACAAACACCTAAATCTAACAAGGTCTGTAGAACCTTTGTAGTACCTAGGAGCCATGGTTTGGAATGCTCTACTACTGCTGTTGAGCTACACAGGAACCAGTAAAACTGGTACAGATAGTTCATTGGATATTTCTGAACTCTAGAGCTTAAGGCATTAACTGAAATTTTTAATGCCACACCCTGCTGTAATTAACTTCTATAAAGATTTGATTTTTAAAGAACAAAGTCAAGTTTGAACCTTGTTTTATTTTTTGATTTACTTTTTTAGCTTTATTGAGGTATAATTAACAAATAAAATTGTAAGATATTTAGAGTGTTGATTTGATATCCATATACAAGGTGTGATCAAGCAGTACAGTGAATGTTTAAATAAAAATTATTACAGTAAAAGACATTGCCATTAATCTCCCTCAAAATACTCCCTTTTGCTTCAAACACACTTCTCCCATCGTTCTTGCTACTTTCTGGAGCAGTTCTGGAAGTCATCTTTCATGAGTGTCTTTAGTTGTGCTATCTTGGCTGCCTTGATGTCCTATATTGTGTTGACTTTGGGGAAGATCCAGAAGTTGCATGGTGCCAGATCCGGTGAATAAGGTGGATGAGGACACACTGTAATGTTTTTATTTGACATAGACCAGAGGCGATGTTGACATATATATATATAGTTTAAAGATTTTTATTGGGGGATTGGGGAAGCGGAACAACGTTGGGTAATCGGGGAAGGGGAACAGACAAGTTGCTGTCCTTTTGTACTTTAGTTGTGGAGGGTGTCGCTTCACTGGCCCATGTTGGTACCATCATTGCACTCTTCCCGGGTGAGGCAGTCATTCGTCGGCCATTGGACGACCGCTCATGCTGGCTGCCAGCCCCCAATGGTAGCTTCCGGCAGCCCACAGCAGCAGGGGCTGCAGCCTATGCCGTAGCCAGTGACTCATGGCTGCTCAGCTCCAGGTTTGAGCTGTTGTTCACCATCTTAGCTGTAGAGGCACAGCGTCACTCGCCCTCATGTGGGATCTGAACCGGGGCCCTGCTGCTCAGAGCTGGTGTCCCAAGCCAACTCCTAACCAATGTGCCACCCGGCCAGCCTGATGAAGGGTGATTATGGCACACTTTAAAACACACCTCTCAACCGTAGCTCACACCCGACTGCACCAAACAAGTTGAAAATTGTCACACACTGTTACTAAGGTTCGATGCGCTGCTTTTTATATTGAAGATCCCTGCCTTTCTGTTGGATGGCGCTTAGCAGCAGCATTCACCGTATTTTGTGATCACAACAGAAAGGCTCTTTGTCACACATGGCTTCTGGTACAGCAATTTCTGTCAAAAACATTACGGTGTGTCCTTATTCACCTTATTCACTGGATCTGGCACCATGCGACTTCTGGCTCTTCCCCAAAGTCAACATGACCATGAAAATTAAACGTTTTGAATGGATTCAGGACATCGAGGCAGCAGCCGTGACAGCGCAACTATAGACACAAGAGAGGACTTCCAGAACTGTTTCAGAAAGTGGCAAGAAGATGGGGTAAATGTGTTCTAAATGAGGAGCCTTATTTTGAGGGGGATTAATGGCAATGTGTCTTTTACTATAATACATTTTTAAATTTAAATATTCACTATCTTTTGATCACACCTCGTACATTGTGAAAGGATTTCTCACATCTAGTTTATTAACACATTCATCACTCATATTTATCTTTTTAAAAAAATTTTTGGTGAGAACATTTAAGTTCTACTCTCCAGCACATTTCACCAATACAACAGCATTATTAACTATAATTACCATGGTATTCATCAGATCCTCAGACTGTACTTATGTATCTTTTAGCTGAAAGTTTTTACCCTTTCATCATCCTCTGCCTATTTTCCCCCATCCTCCTGTCAACCTCTTTTTCTACTCTGTTTCTATGAGTTTCACTTCCTTATTTTTTTGATTCCACATACAAGTGATACCATGCAGTGTTTGTTGATTTGGATTAACAAGAGAGTACATGAATTTATTGCATGTACCTGCCCTTGTTGATAGTAATAGTAACAATAGAAGTCAGTTTCTTCTCTGCCAAATGTCAGGTACTGTTTTAATCCCTGAGGAGGGGGAAAGTAAAATTACTGCTCTCCAATATCTCACTCTCCAGTGGAGCACTGGAACAGTCAAGGAACCATTTCAGGGAACCATGCTATGGCAGTACACAGAAGGGCTTTTGACCTAGACGTTGATCTGTTTCTTAAACATGAACTAGCCAAACCAAAGGAAGGAATATGAAGGTAATGTAGGTAGAGACAAAGGCCTGGAGGCATGCAAGGGCATGGCACATGTTAGGCACTGCAAGTTGTTCAGCATGGTAGAGATTGAGGCAGTGCAGGTAACACGTAAGGCTAGAATGGCCAGATCATGAAGGGTCTTGTCAGTTGTCCAAGAATCTCTTCCTCTGGGCTTCCGTATAAATACAGAGACAGCCTTTGTGCATATAGGCTGGGAATCTTTGAGTCATCTTTGACTCTTAAGACTCCCTTCCCTCTTTTTAACTCCCTTATAATTAGACACCAAATCCTGTCAATTTGGGGCACTTGGATTGAAATGGAGTAATGACAAACTAAATATAGTCTGTTCTTTACAGCAGACTGTGACTTAGTCTTTTTAATTTCTAAGGCTTAGTGCTGGCTCACAGACCCTTAGTAAATGTTCAAATTGAATGAGTTACACAGGAAGGAAGTTCAAAAGACAAAATGTTTAGTATTTTTACATATGAGCATGTATAACTTTTTAATTCTCCTTTCACTATAGAAAATCTAATAACCTTAGGAGGCCTAGTTGAAAGGTCAACTTATAAATAAAAATCTTGAAAATTGAATCAGACCCATTAGTAAGGTATGTTTGATTAGTTGTAGTGGTAGAAGCAGCATTATAGTTAGGAAAGAAAAGTGCCAAACAGCTTTTAGCAATTTGATTATGATGAATATACATCAGTTTACATAGTGTGTGTGCCTTCCCCCCTCCTCCCCGCAGCTTGGAACAGCTTTCTTGTCCTAACAGATTAATTTTTTAGAGGAAAAGTTGTGAATGTGAATGTTTATTGCTTTTCACTTATCACAGTTAATAAT